ACGCGGTGAGATACAACGCATAGTAATTTAACGCGTAGGAACTTAACGAGTGGCGATATAACGCGAGGGAACTCAACGCATAGAAATTCTACGCAAAGTAACAGAACGCACAGAAATTCCACGCATAGAAAATCGTCACGTGGTGATACCACGTGTACTTCCCTGCATTGTAATTCAACGCGCAAGAACTCAACACGTGGCAATATAGCGCATAGTAATTCAACACTCAGAAATTCTACGCAAGGTGAATGCACAGTAATTCAACGCGTGGTAATTCGATACCCGGCGATACAACATGTAGATAATTTACACATAGCAATTATGAACTCATAGCTGCCGATACTCAACGCCTGGAGATTCCACACAAAATGATATAACACAGAAATTCAATACGCAAGATTTCAACATGCGATATAACGCGTAGTATTTCACGCAGTGACTTAACGCGGAAATTCGATACGTTGCACTAGAATTCTATAGTAGTCTAAAGGTTAACCACCGAAAGTCAAATCGTTGGTGGTCAACGTTCAGTAACGATCCATGACGAATTCTATGGATTAGTTCGGCCATTAACCAGAACATCGCGGCGCTCCATTTGCATAAGACATGCATAGAGTGAAAACGAAAGGGGAAAGAACGAGGGAAAAGCGTGAAAATTGCGGAACTTCGGTGTTAGAAGACCGCGGGTGGCCGTTCCCCTTTCTCAGCGGGTTTCTTTTATTAGTTACGTTTCACTTTCCATTGTTTCGCGACTGATACGGTTTCACTGTCAGGGGTTGTAAATCGCACGGGTGAAAACACTGTGACCGTAATTTGTTGGTGTCTGCTGACAAAGGTGTTACCGCCTTTGGGTAACCGATCGGGTGTTAATAACTCGATAATTTATGAAACCTATGTGAGAAATCAGAAATTAGGGATTTTATATATGGTGGGAAATTTAATTTTGTTAAGGTTTGCTGTTTGTGGAAGTTACTTTAATATTATTTAAGCTTGTCTCTTTTGTACACTTTTGTATACTTTTGCACAGCAAGTGGTTTGAGGATCCGTTTCACCCTTTGTTCCACTTTGTTCTGGTATTCAGCTTTGTTTCACTGGACCGTTGCTGGTGAAAACCGCGTCGGAAACCGCGATGCTTTATTTAAACATACATTAAAGTCTCGGTGACACAATTGTATTCTAAAGATATCTCCTTATGGAACATTTCCTAGAAATACATCTGCAAAGCATTAAACCTTAAATTAATTTTATATTTTTGAAAAACAGAATCTTGTTATATTCTTGCAACTCCAGTGGGTTATTAATTTTATCTTCTAAATAAATCATAGCAATCTTATTTCTTCAAAACGAAATTTAAATTAATTTTATAATTTTGAGAAACTGAATCTTGTAATATTCTTGCAACTCCAGTGGGTTATTAATTTTACCTTCTAAATAAATCATAGCAATCTTATTTCTTCAAAACGAAGTTTAAATTAATTTTATAACTTTGAAAAACAGAATCTTGTAATATTCTTGCAACTCCAGTGGGTTATTAATTTTACCTTCTAAATAAACCACACCAATCTTACTTCCTCAAAACGAACTTAATCTACGTTATCTTATACATAATAAAACTAATATAAATTATTTTACTTTTCAAAACGAGTAATCATCAAGCGTCGAATATCTTCATCACAAAAAGCTGCAAGGAGGTCGTTACGTACAATTGCCATAAATGAAAAGGTATAATTCGGGGTCGTCGTTTTTAACCCCGCGCCACGCGTCACGCCCATATCCGGCCGCGCATTTCCGGCCGCGAAAACCACCGGATTCGACGTGGTCGCGGAACAAACTCGAGAGAAGAAGACAGACACAAGAGTTGTACCGAAACGCCGCTGGATCTGCACGGGCAAACACGCGTGGACACGCCCGTCGCAATTACACGAGTGCCTGCAAGTATAATGAGCCGTGCGTTTCATTGTGATTTATGCTCAGACCGGCTTGGTCCGTGTTAAGAAACCTCCCTTCTACTCCTTGTGGATTCGCTTTGAATATCAGAATCGAGGGACAATAAAATTTCAAACAGACTTTTCCTTCCGTCAACTCCTCCTGGGATCATTTTTTTTCTAACTGGGAAATCTTCTTGTATGGATTTTGTGCAGATAATTCATTAATACATTCGTAATTTAATAGGATTATTTTTTGTTAATAGGGAAGTCTTGTATGGATTTTGTGGCGATAGATAATTCATTAATACATTCGTAATTTAATAGGATTATTTTTTGTTAATAGGGAAGTCTTGTATGGATTTTGTGCAGATAATTCATTAATACAATCGTAATTTAATAGGTTATTTTTTGTTAATAGGGAAGTCTTGTATGGATTTTGTGGCTATAGATAATTCATGAATACATTCGTAATTTAATAGGATTATTTTTTGTTAGTAGGGAAGTCTTGTATGGATTTTGTGGCGATAGATAATTCACGAATACACTCCTAATTTAACTGTATTTAATTTATTACGTACTATGTAGTTAGTGCGACGTTATTTAGACTCAACGTAGTTTAATTCAATGTAACATTGTCACACGATGTAATCCAACGAATAATACCATCTCAGCTCCTCATAAAACACTCCAGATTATTTAAAAAATGCGAAATTTCAACAACTTATTAAATAATTTATAAAAAAAGCAAGAAAGTATAAAATGTCAGCTGTCGGGTAAAAAAATAAACTAAAAAGAGGCTCTCGAAAGAACAAGATCCTTGATCCCGTCTCGCGTGTTTCTTTCACCGAGGCAAGCTGTCAAGCGTAACCACTCAATCCTCGTGATTAACCTTCGACAGGCCCCGTCGAGGACAATTTTCCACGATCGCAAATTCATTTGCTGGCACCCTCCTTACACCTATCACGAACCGGTGCGCACACAACCCGCACGAATTGCGTGCTTTCCTTATTGGCCGATTGAATAATACATGGAGCCGAATAGTATTAGAACGCGGCGCGACACGCGATGTCCATGACGCCTGTCATGTCGTGCGGGTCACGCGTCACCATTTTTGACGAGTTGTTTAGGCATTCTTGATTTATCGAAGCCGGGACCCAGCGTGTGACCCGACTCTAACGACTGGATAACCGATGACGTGATTCTTGACGGGGTCAGTGGAAAAATTTTATTCGAGGATACTTCTTTATTGCTTATTTATTCTGTGTATATTAAACCTTCTTTTTATGATCATTAATTGTTAAGCTTCCTCTTCGTTGTTTGTATATTAAGGTTTTTTTTCAGTTACGGTCAACAATCATATCAAGTTTCATTTTGAGTTACACGCATTAATTGTGTGTCTATTAATTATTTTTCAGTAAGCATCATTAACTAGTAACCAGTATAAGCAGCCAGTATAAGAAACCAGTACAAGTAACCAATTTAAGTAGATTTGAAAATGAGTCTTCAATGAGTTACCTAAGCCTTGATCTCATCATCACCGAACATATGAGACATATTTTTAACATATGAGGCACTAAAATAATTAACAATGAGACCTATCAACGACAGATTTCATGTCTCCAAAGAAACTACAGGTAGCAACCACATCCACATTGATCCATCTGTAATATAGTTGTCTGCTAAAAATGTTTACTGTCGCCATATTGTCAGCGTTATAATAAATATATACACTAAACCCATGTATTAAAGAATAGAATATTTGTCGTGTAACACGTGCAATATCACTAACACGAAAATCTGAATAATAAGGTCTCCGATTACCAATGCAAATGTCAGCTTATTCGGTGGCGTTAATCCAAGTCAATTTGCATTATAGCTCTACCTCTAAAAGCAATCATTAACATTTTAAATTTCCTAGACATTTTGACCTCTCTATTACCAACGTAAATTGATCGCATTTTAGCATAATCGATTAGTAGAAAGCGTCATATGGTTCCAAAGTTCCATCGAAAAACTAGAAACGCGAATAATGGCGGAGGATAAAAGGAAAGATAAGGTCGTTAGCGAGACAGCTAATCCGGCTGGTGACTGGGATCGGCCATTACGAGGTGGTTCCATCGTTAAAAGGAAGTCGGATCGTGAATGGGTCAGCTGTAATAACGAGCTCCTTACATCCAGATTACACGCGCGCCGCGGAACCGAGTTGCTCGTCACGGCCAGCTTACAACCAGCTATAAAGCAATAAAAGTCGATTTGCCTGCTGGAATACCGACCGGTGATATATCGCTGCTTAGCGCCCACGTAACTAAAGGAGCACCGAACGATCTCTATTATTTCGTTTTTTTATTCCACGAATTTGAATTATCGAGTCTGCTTTTATCTTCTTTGTGGTCCACTTTGGAGACTTTATCAAGGACGTTTATTAAGCGAGAATGCTTTATGTCTTGCAGAGTGATTGGAGGTAAGCTATGCGCCATTTTGTTTATACTCTTGATGGGTGCGATGTGAACGTTATGGAAGAGTGAGTAAATGTTGAAATTTGGAATTTCGTGAATTAAAGATTGCGGAGTTTTGAAATTTGGAAATTAAGATTTAGGGGTGTGGAGACATTGAGACATGCAGAAATAAGGAACCTTGAGAATTAAGGATGTAGAGAAGTAGAAATGTGGGAATTGAGGATGTAGGAAATTAAGAACGTAGAAAATTAGGGATGGTGGAAATTGTAGACAACTAACAATGTAGAAAGCTGAGAATATAGAAAATTAAAGATTTAAAAAACTGAAGATGTAGAAATCTAAAGACATAGGAAATTAAGAGTATAAGAAAATAAGAATATAGGAAACTAGAAACGCAGACCATTTAAAAAATTTGAGAAATAAAAATGACCATAAAAATCTACCCCTTCCAAAAAGCAATATAATCACAATCCCAGATAAAAATCTCTGTGTCCATAATTTTATTCAAACAACGTACAAATATCAAATAAAGTAAAACGGACGAAATGGCTTAAAGTGTGAACAGTGATACTTCGTCAGAATGTAAGGAAAAGTTACATGGTTTTTCGTTCGTGGTTTACATGCTCGTTTCTTCTTCCACGTTCGTCTCCGTTGATTGTTCTTTCAACACCTTCAGATCGTTTTTTGTACCCACACGAGACGATTTCGAATGGCAGACCGTGTGACGTATGTCCTCCTTGTCCCTAGTGAACTTGTCTCTCAGCTTGTGAACCGTGTTGAACAGCATGTTGGGTTTTGCGCATTCGTTCGTGCTGCAATCGAACAACGTACTCTCGCATTTTTTGAGATCGCAGGTGAATCCTGCTGCTCTTCTCACGTTCAGGTTCTCGTACATTTTTTTTATCCTTTTCATTGACAGTTTGGTCCTCTTCTGCAAAGGACGAAGCATTTATCAAGTTGATTTTTGATCTTTGGCTAATATTTGATGCATTCAGAAGCAGAGTTTGGACTTTATACTTGTATATTCGATAATTAAATTATTATGAACTTATAGAGTCTAGAGTTGAATTATTCGAATTACTTTTTACCTTCACATGGTCAGAAATTTCCTGCAACTTCTTTTTGCTCCTCTTCATCCTGTACCCCAATTTATTCCTCTTCCTCGAGGTACACACCGTCTCAAAACTAACACAATAATCAACTCAATCAACGACTACCTCAATAAATTTATAAATGACTATCTCAAATTAGAAGCTAGAATACCTTTCATCCACGTCTTGTTTTATCCCAGTGCAATATCGTGAGCAGCCACTCCTAGTGGGGGATTTGACCTTCTTCGTGCATGATTTGTCGCAAGATTTCTTTACTTCTGTTCCTAATCGATCACCTTCGTATTCATGAATGGTACCAGACTGACGAGTATTCTGATTTAATAATGTAGCCTCCGTTTGAGACGACTGCCATCGTTTCGATATCCCTGTTTCATTGTTGTCCCGTGGTTTATTCATCCCTCGATTATATTTTTAAAATTCGTAGTAATCGTGATTGGAATTTGTGCTCGATGAACTGGAAGGCGGATGTCGAAGTACCGCGTGCCGACGACAAATCAGTATCGTTTTGGTTCCCATTTTCAATTTTTCGTCGATCGAGTTTGCTGGACACCTTGCCACTATGAGGATTCGATGCTTGAAGTAGTCCTTCAAAAATTAATATTTAAAGAAAAATTATTATTTTAAATTATTTAAAGAACTTGAAGAAATTGTCACAATTGTCTAATAATTATTATTAAATCTTCTAACCTCATTTTTCTTGAACGGTCTCAGCTTTCCGCATATACTCTTCAAAGCTCGAAAGCTTCTCGAGAACTTCCGACGTAAATTATCCAATTATTCGTTCTGATAGAAACGGTAGCATGTTGCATTTACGAGTGAAATCGACGATAGACTAAAATTTCTCCTGTCAACGCGAATCTTTCGGTTGGAAAGGGTGGCGCCATTCAACGATTGTCTTTCGTTTATCGACCTTTTATTTTTATTCCTAGTTGTTTCTGCCCTTCGATCTCGCTTCTCGTACGATTTCCCCATGATTCACCGAGAATCTTCTTTCCATTATAGACTTCAAATTGTGCGTCGAAACCCCAATACTTTTGAACGGTGCATCCTGAATAAATATAACTCAAACTTGTTAATTGAAATTTAATAACATTCCGTAATTAATTTAATTTATAAATAACAATGTAACGATTTATAATTTTCTGGATGTTTAGAATGGCCTTCAATAATTTATGTTAATACCGTAATTAGTTCCATGGAGGTACTGATATCAGCTGCAATGATCTTTTTTCTGGCCGCATTTTCACTGCTGAACGTATGTCTGGGTTTTCCTTTGTCGCCCAAATCTATGGAGCTCTTGGTATACCACATCTGTTGCGGCGAGTTATCTTAAGAAATAAAAGTTTCTTAAAAATTTGCATCATTTCCTCTTAATCTCTCATGGATATTTACAGTGAGGATTATTTCTATGTCCTTCTTGTTCTTGTTCGTTCCTCTTGTTCCTCGAGGACTCCTCAGACGTTCCAGGAGCCGAATAGTTCTGAGTTTCCCGTCTGCAAGATATGGGACAGTCCTTCTGACAAGAATTAATACTCCTAAAAGAAAATAAACTTGTAAAATAAACCCAAATTACACAAAAAGTTACAAATTTTTATCTTTCTCTGTACACTCTCTTCTGATGAAACTCAGCACTCGCACGAGGACTAATTCTACTCAAATCTTCCGGAAAAATATTCGGACTCTTCGTATAATCTTTATTATGAACATTTTGTTTGATCTTCAAGTTCTCCAGCGATCGACATTTCGTCGGTGTCGAGGTTGCAAATCCCTTCGGCTGAAATAGAAATAACTTTAATTTTTATACACTTCAATAATTACTTTCTCGTACTGCGAGGGTTTCTTCGAGCATTTTCAGGGTGACCATCGTCCCGTCTAGGAAACCGTGGAGATGGGGTAGTTTCTGTTCACAGCAATTGAACTCTCGCTTCCGGAAGATCTTCCACCAGCAATTCTCGTCGTCCAGAAATGTCTTCAACTTTGTCATCTCTTTTATGCAGTTATTCACTATCTCTCTTGCGTTGTTCAACTCTGTTATTCCTACGTCTTCGGTTTGACTGAGGACATTCTTCTTTTGTTGCTAGTTAAAACAATTTAAAAATCGTGCATCAATCATTGCTAATTTAGAAGCTGTGATACGTTAAGGAATTTCAATTATTTTTATATGTAAAGAAATTTACATCACATTTATGTATAAAGAAATTTACATTGCAGTTATATATAAAGAAATTTACATCACATTTATATATAAAAAAATTTGCATTGCAGTTATATATAAAGAAATTTACATTACAGTTATATGTAAAGAAATATACATAACATTTATATGTAAAAAAATTTACATTACATTTATATATAAAAAAATTGTATGAAAGTATTACGTTATTAAATAAATACTGTATATGTACCTTGACATAATTTTTTTTTATATCAAAAAATAATACAAGATTAAATCAATGCGTTAAAGAAAAAAAATCGAGTTCGTTCACTGTAAGAGTTCAGAAAATAAAACAATAAAATTTACCGATTTGACATACTGCTGAGCAGTTTCCAAGTCCTGTATGCTTTTCTTCAGGTGCTGTATCTTATCGAGCAATCTCTGCGTGGTGCAAATGTCCTTCTCCACCTGTGATTTAGCATACTTGCACTTTCTCAGATCGCACAACTCGGTCTGCTTTCTGATCGACGATTGATAACAATTGTCCTCCTGATTACCGATACTGTTGGAAACCGGGGTGAAAGTACACGGGCAGTGTGCTCGTTTCGATTCCTATAAACATTCGCGAACCGTTACCTTTCATGAACTCGTACAAAATGGTTCTACAAAAAATTCTAAGAGGAAGTGTCAATTAGGTTACGTGCCATCCACGTTGAGGTTCCTTCTTCCTTTTTTTTCTAGCAAGCTTTTCTAACTCCTTGATGCGAGCATGATTTCCTTTCCAACGAAATACCTGTGGTTTTATACATTTTGTAACTGTTTGTTGATATTTGAAAGAAATTTCATGATTGTGGAATCGCCATCGTCGATGGACGACAGCGTCATCTGTTTCGTATTTTGCAAATTTAATTAACAGGTTGACTCATAGTGGAAATACGTCTGTTATTAATAATATGGATGGCAGTATAATTTATACGATGACATATTTATGACAATAATTATTAAGGATTAATGTAACTTTGCAGTTTATTCTTCCATTTATCATCAGTTAATTCTTAACACTTCCTGTTTTCATCTTATATTGTATATTCACTTGTGTTTGTCAAGATGTGTCTGTTAAGATCGTTTGATGCTTGAGATAATCAAACCTTAAAAGTATTGAAACAAAATAAAATAAACTATCCAAGTCTACTGAAAAGTTCAGCTTGAAATTCGACCACGAATTTTCTAAAAAGCACCCTTTTCCGTGCGGTTTCCGAAACACAAAGCAGCGTGTTTTCCGAGGATCGATCGAATCGCAGAGGACTTTTAAACGGCTCGTTTAGCATAACGAGGTCCCGAGCTCTTACGAAACGGCAGACCCGCATAATTGCATTGTGAACGGAAGCTTAAGGTCCTCGAGTCACAATGAAAGAATCGTGACAAAAAGTCAACGAGATTGTCACCGCGGAAAATCCATGTTGCACCGTTGCTTTTTCTTTTCATTTGCAAAGGAGATGAGAAAATATCAGTACAATACCACAGATCGAAATTGGGTCATTCAAGTGCAAAACAGAATTCTCTTTCAATGGCAGCACCATTTTTTTACAGATTTTTACGAATCATCACTTTTATTTGATTATCCGTTCTTGCAAGAAATTCTTTTCGTATATCGAGTTATAAATCTTCATCGAATCGATTGTCTGCCAGAGCACGAGAAATTGGAGCATTCAATTGCAAAGTAGACGGTCGAGGCGATTTTTCAGCTGCATGCCTCGTTTTTCCACGAATTACGGGATTTCGGTCGCGTGAAAGCCGTGAAAATCGACTCGGTATCGGCTTCACGAATTTCCATTTGAAACGATCCTTTGAATCGCTAGTTTCACGTTCACGCTGCCATGAATTCGACGCGGAAATTTCGGTCGTTTCGTTCTATTCAAACGCGACTTGCCACCAGAAAGAATCGAACCAAATTATAGATATACCCAGATAAAATACGATTCGTTATCTTCATCCTCTCTGATAATACATTGGAGAGCTAGAGCTTCAAATACATGAACTTGGTTATACTAGATACGTCTTTGTATTGATTATTATTTTTTTTTATAATTATTAGTTGATAATGTAACTCTCTAGATATATCATTTAATCATTAACATGTTATACTGGACACTTCTCTGTATTGATTATTATTTTTATGACAATTATTAGTTGATAATGTAACACTCTAATTATGTCATTTTATCATTAACATGTTCTATGATAACATTCAATAACTGTTGCTGTACAATAACTTACAGTATCATATAGTAACTGTTATTAAACAATAAAATATATTATTACTAAAATTTATTACTTTATAGTAACAATATAGTACCACATACATTACATTATCAATGAACCACCATTTTCAAAGTGCAAGCACAATAAAAGTAGTACACTATTAAATAGACTAAATACATTAAAATTCATTACTTTATAGTAACAATATAATACCCCATACATTATATTATTAATTAACAACAATTTTCAACATACAAGCACAGTAGAAGTATTAAATAGCTACCTCCACAAGATCCACCCCAGTCGGCAATATAGGAGTATTACGCTCGAAAATTCAAGACGTATCGTAAATCTACCCTGAGCGGTTTATTCGGGGACGTTGCGTGATCCAAAAGGAAGGAGCGAAGATTCCAAGGGGTTTTCGTAACTCTAGATGACTCGAGGCTAGGTATCGAGCATAGAATTCGGCACGACCGTAAAGAGTCAGGCGTCTAAGACCATTTGTCGCGATACGGGAGATCCTGGTCTTCCGGCGCGCGGTTGACAGGTAGAAAACAGGTAAACGCGCCGCAGGATCTCCTTTTTTCACGTCCGACATGGTTGACCGAGGGACAAAGGGGTGCGGGACGGTTCAAAGATCCCTAAGCCGGCCGCAAAGTCAAAATAAAGTAATTGTTGCCCCTTTGTACACCCCTTCTTTTCACCGGGTAACAGGGAAAGTTTTCCTTTCGTTTTCGTCTTCAAATCTTTTACATGCCCTTTAGTTTTTTATTTTTTCAAATTGGGTGCAAAGTATTCCTGATAAAATGTGATAGAATTTATATTTACTTGTAATGGAATTTTACTCTGATTCCTACTTTATAATTATACTTACAGATAGTGCAAGATTTGTTTTTTTATTTGGCGTGTCAAGGTAGAGAATACATATGACATATCTCGTTACGGAGTAAGTCCACCATTCCACGTATAAAATCGTTATTACCTCCGTACAAAAAAGTTAGCAGTGAAGATACAAGGTAACAGAAGAATATGAAAGACCAACGACTTTCAACGTAAAGAGCACTAAATTTCCTCAAAACGACAGTCATACCGCTACTCCACAAAGTGACGGTCGAAAGATACGTGTAACAGAAACGTACACATACACGCCTAGAATTACACTTTTATCTATTCACTTTAACATCGTTGTGTCCGCTGCGGCGACCACCCAACGCGTTCGCCACGGTGCCGGGAGTAAGGTACACCGAGGTTCGACGTTTCTCAAGGTTTTCACGTGTCACGAATGGCGTTGACAATCTTCGAGCGATCGATATACGACCGCCGAAGAGAACGAACGACGGAGAAGGACAGGGAGAGACAGTCAGCGGTAAGACTGTCGGATGTAACCGTAGGAGGTCCTCCATTTCGATTCACAGCGGTCCTCAGGATCTTGTCCTGGGAAAGCCATAAATGGCGATCAAGTCGTGCGGATCCACGCGCATCATGTAGCTTGTATGTTGAAAAGATGAAAAAAATTAGCCTTCGGGGAATCTAACAATGTTGCCTTTACACAAACTTCTAATATCCAACTGGTCTCTGAGCTATCTTAACCTCAATGTGTCTAATCTAATCTGGTACAGGATTATACCATTAAAATATGTTTAACTCAGGAAATTATATTCTTGATCAAAAATTTTGATTATACTCTACCTATGAACCTAACTGGTAATTGTGGTTAGTACCTTTTAGACTTAATCATGTCTATAGTAATCAATAAAGCTATAAATTACTAGATAACAATATATCTCAAGTATTAAACAAGTATAAAATATCCCCAATCAGAATATTTAAATATTAATTGATGCAATATCCTCGACCATGTAGAAATCAAACCAGTTTCTTATAAAGCATATCAGCTCGAACATATTAACTCAATTAATCGAATGATTAATCTATGAGGCGATCATATAGAACCATCAATAGTTCTTGCTAGTAATCAAGAACGTGTTAGGCTCGTGACAGAAAGGTTCGAGAAATACATCCTGGGTGGCCGTGCGCCATAAAACGTGTTACGTTCTTAATATTATGCGGGACACGCAATATGTATATATAAAGCGCTCCCAATTGTGCGGCAGCTTAGCCGAAGAAAAAAGAGCCGCGGCAAGGAAAAATCGTGGTCGTGCACGAAACCGAAAAAGGAAGAACGGAATGCAACGCGAACGAGGCATCTCCTTTTCTGAGCGGACGCGTCCTCCTTACATACGCTCGTTCTTACCGATTTCACCGTGGATCGAATAATCTCGTCTACATGAACGCCGGCCACGCTTGCCTAATTGGCGATCACATTCATCCGCGGCGGCTTTATTTGAACAAATTTAATAGCTTACTTTACCAACGGACTTTAGCAACGGACACGATCTCGAATGCTCCCTTGCGAAATACTCTTGTTCTTTCGGGTAATATGGTAAAACAGTGATGGACAGAAAGGGGGGAAGAGCTTTCGGACGTTCGAGGCAGAGTGCGTGATGGGTGAGGGAGAGATAGGGACGTTTCGAATCTTTGCGATTTGGAGTTTAAGGAATTTGGGGACTTGGAATGTGGAGATTTGGGTGCCTCTGGATTTGGAAAGTTAGAACTTTGGGAATGTGGAATTTTGGGGATGTGACTTTGGGGACATGTGACTTTGACAATATAGAACTTTGAGGACACGTGACATTGGGGATATGTCATTCTAATGATGTGGAATTTTGGAAATATTAAAATTGAAGACCTACTTGCACATTTATCTACAACTAAATAATCTAAAACCTCGATAACTTGTAAAATAACTAGCTGATACACAATGGCCGTATAATCCATTTGGTGTTACGTAACATCGAGCGCATCCCAAGAAGAGATTACTTCGATCCATCGATTCCAGTCGACTTTTCCACGTCCTTGTCGCGCGACAAGGGTATTGTGAAGTCAGGGCCACCCTGAATGCCGAAAGCTCTTCGACTTTCGCGTTTCGGCTCGTTTCATCCCAGCAAAGCGAGTGCATAGATCACCAGGTGTCGCTCTGTTTATACCACAAACGTCCAAACAAGTCTCCGAGTCCCTTAGGTCTATTAAGTGCGGACCTTTCAAAAGATCTATTCGACTAGCAAGGCAAAAAAAGAGGGAGGAATGGCGCATTGTATACCTGGATCCAAAGATCCTGCTATTGATGTGACCGCTATAGCGTGTAAATAAACCCTAACTTTTCACTGCAACGCGATTTAACCAATTTTCTACGATCGAGGATTAAACGGTTGACAATTTTGTTTAATGGAAACCTTGAGAAGTTTTTTTGTGATCTTTGGGTTTTTTGGAGGGGATCATTGTTTGACAGTTATTGGTGGCACGGTGCCTTTTATTTTCTTCGGGTCTATCGATTCTTATCTGGCGATACCCTGACATGCTTTCCTTGATCCGCCGACATTGACCATTCACGATATCCTGCAGGCTCGTCCGAAAATAAATTCTCTTTCTCCACTTGTAGACACCATTAGGATATCGCATTCTTTTATATCGTTTTGAATGTGGTAGA